ATTCCAAAATAATAATGACAGTGAGGAATAATGATTGCACAAAAATATGCGATTAAAAATAATTCAATGATATTTGTCAATTTCTTCAAAATATTTGAGTTTTAACTTATTTTAGATTTGTTTTGCAAAATCAGTAGAAAACTAAATGTAAACGGAGCGACTGAGAATCGTGGTTAAACTACAGCAGTTAGAGGATAGTTTTTTCATAATCAAGGAGATCAAACAAAGCAATAAAGCAAGTGATGAAGCAAGTGATAAACCAAGTGCGCGGAGCGCATCCGAGTGAACACCAAATGAAGCTCTTTATGGTCGGGATCGTCGTTGCCATCTGGCGCATCTGCCGCCCTGAGTCACTCGGTCGCGCAGTTTTTAATAGCCTGAAGTAAAGTTTGCAAGTATGAGAGTACGGTATCTTGCAAACCTCGAATATTTACTTGTTTTTTTCTTGTTGTCGTTTGGCGACATAAGGTCCTTAAGCATTGTTATGCTATTATTAATCGCCCAAAAGTGTTTGATTTTACTTCTCTAGAAGATAACATTGCAGTAGTTCATAAAATGCTTTCTTATATGACTGAGTATAAGTGTCAAAAGTTTTGTCAGGGGTTTTAACGTGCTATTTTTAGCTCCCGTTATAAATCTAAATTTTGTAGGTATTTCATGCATTTTAGGAATCCCGTAAATTTTGGGTATTTCATTGCATGCATGGATTACTTTCAAATTCAATCCATGTAATATTCTTTCATGTGTACCTCTAACTTCTTCCGATTTAAGTTGTGTAATCTTGTACGTCCGCACATTACTGTTTGTTTGCTCCAGTTCCTTTAATACCATTAATAAGTACAACTTTTTGCAAGTGAAGCTGAAATTGGAACTTGCTTTATCTGTTGGTGTAATTACAAAATGTTTTTGTATTTTATTTAGTTCCTCTCTTCTATACTCATCTTTCATGATGACTTCTTGGTCACATAATTCAAAAAGTTTAGGCTTAACTCTGTTTGTAAATATTTTTACAAACTTTCTTTCCAAAAATATTGTTGTTGGGGTACTCAATTTTAGAGCATTTCTTAACCTTTGTGCTAAAAGGCGTGCTAAATCTTTCAGCAGATTCCATATGTCTTGTTTTGTCACTACACTGTGTGTTCTGTATTTGAAGCCTCTAGTGAATATTTCTCTCAATTCATCATCTTTCATTATATTAACACTAGCTGGCTTACCCGGCTCCGCCGTATCCGGACCAAACTTGGCACACATACACTTCGGGCCCCGGCGGGTGTCACAGTCCACTTTTCGTTATCGATCGATGTCGATTTTACCGATTTTTATCGATTTTTTGCAGAGTTCACCTACAGAGCTAGGAGTTGGCACAGGGGGGAAGTGAGCATGGGGATTCCGAATACAATATTAGTTTTCAGGATCGTCCATTACTTTTATCGATTTTATCGATTTTTTTTGTAAAGTTTGACCTGCGGGGCTGGGAGTTTGCACAGGGAATAATCGAGCATGCAGATTACGAATACAATATTAGTTTTCAAGATCGTCCATTACTTTTATCGATTTTATCGATTTTTTGAAAATTTGAGCTAGGGGGCTGGAATTTGGCACAGGGGTGTAATCGAGCATGCTGATCACCCCCCTCGGGGATGATCAGCATGCTCGATTACCCCCCTGTGCCAACTCCCAGCCCCGTAGCTCAAACTTTGCAAAAAAATCGATAAAATCGATAAAAGTAATCGATAATCCTGAAAACCAATATTGTATTCGGAATCCCCATGCTCGATTACCCCCCTGTGCCAACTCCCAGCCCCGTAGCTCAAACTTTGCAAAAAAATCGATAAAATCGATAAAAGTAATCTATAATCCTGAAAACCAATATTGTATTCGGAATCCCCATGCTCGATTACCCCCCTGTGCCAACTCCCAGCCCCGTAGGTGAACTCAGCAAAAAAATCGATAAAAATCGATAAAATCGATATCGATCAATGACGAAAAGTAGCCTATGACACCCGCCGGGGCCCGAAGTGTATGTGTGCCAAGTTTGATCCGGATCGGTTCAGAAATGGAATTTTCTATTCGGAACATACGTACACACAGACATACAGACAGACAGACAGACATACAGACAGACATACAGACAAACAGACATTCAGCTTTATATATAAGATTCCCTGTACATACATGCCCAGTTTACTGTTAATATATTCATTGTATGTGTCGCACATACAACTTCTATTCAAAATTTTATTGACAGAGTTGGTGTCAATGTTCCTAAGGAATTTTTGTAGTTACATATGTGTGTCCCAATCGGTTCTTTCAATTTGTATCTTATTGCAATGTTTATATCTTGCACCTCGTTTGCTTTATCTGGTGCAGCTGTGAGTATAACTTCTTTCATTTCCCTGTTATTACACAAACTTTTGATTTTAACTTATTTATAACGTTACCTGAGTATGGAAGTGTTACATATACGTTGTTTGCCTTTATACTCCTATGTCTTTTCCGTTCCAAAAAGGTCTAGCTACCAACGCATATATCTTATGTCTCAATTCATAGCTGAATGTGTTAAATTTTATATCAAATGTTAGGTGGATTAGTCTGTTGATATCATGTTTGTTCAATGTTCTGAAATATTTATATAGACTGTATGATTGCAATTCATTAATTCATTAATTTTAGCTTAGACCACATTACTAGGGAAGACTATATTCGATATTTCTCGAGAACTAAAGCTTGTAAAGAGCTGGAAATTTACGTTTGTACTTCTAAAGGTTTGTAGTATACAACTACATATGTGGGAACGGCACAGCACCACTTTAGCAAATGCACGAAAATTTCCGTTTTCTTGATTTCTAACAGAGAAAAAAATAAGGCAACGGCGTATATAGATGCCTTGTGTGGATTGTGTTTACGTGAGCAAGTTAGAATTTTTGTAGGATTTTTACGAACTGAGTTACGATTTTTCTCAATTTTTCGGGCAGTTGAATCTTTTTAGTTTTTGGCTCGACACTCATGGTGGATCAGAGCTGTTGCTAAAGCAAGATAGCCATCTTGTAGAGCTTGCTTTGCTCTATCAAACAGTACCTGCAACCTACTCAAAAATGAGAAATGTATGACTTATTGCGGTTGGAAATCAAAACCTGCATTGATTTCCGGACAACCTAATACTTATAATATTACAAAAGTATGGATGGCCTTTCTTTTCCAGTGGATTTATGGATTCTGAAATGTTTCCATATCCTTTAATTTGATAATTGAATTCAAATGGGTATGCGGTTATCATATACTTAATCCATTGTAGTTCTTTGTTTTTTAGTTCTATTTTGTTCCTTTCTTCCGCACTATCAAGTATATCAATTTTGATTTCGGAAGGGTTGTGTTTACTAATTTTGGAATGATCTACCATAAATGTTTTCAATGTTAATTTCCGGAAGCTTCTGTTTTGTTGATTGATTCGTTGTCTAAGTGTTTGTGCCGTTTCCCTCACATATTGTTGTTTACATGGTGAACAAGTTATCATATACACTACATTTTTAAAGTCGCCATTGGATAATTCAGGTTTATTTGTTTTGAAAAAATAATTAGTAGATGAACTTTTGACTTTGTTATCAAAATTTATCTTATCTCATATATAAAGCTGAATGTCTGTCTCTCTTTTATTTCTGAACCGTTTTGGACCAAACTTGGCACACATACACATCGGGGTAGGAAGCGTGTCATAGGTTACTTTTTGTATCGATCGATATCGATTTTATCGATCTTTTGCAAAATTTGAGCTACAGGGTTGGGAGTTGGCACAGGGGGGTAATCAAGCATGCTGATTACAAATATGTTATTGACAGGGCCGGGCGAAGCCGGGTTTGCCAACTAGTCACATATATTACACGTCCTCCTATTGCATCTTACCCCTATATTGGTGGTGTATATTGATGTATTTACTGCCCTGTATTGGTCGTTCTGTCTTCTGTTTGGCGACTGCGACAACATCAAACGTGTACTTTTATTTGTGAAACGATTGTTAGCAAACCGTAATCCGTTAAAACAGAGGTCCATCCTGGACTCTTATGCGGTTTCCTTATCAGAGGTTATTTCCTCCTCGGCTAGGCAAGCGCAAGCCTCCTCATCGCATGGGAGCGTTACCCGTGATACAAACCGCATTGGATTCCTGATGCTCAATATCACGCCAGGGTTCTACCCTAACAAATAAATTGCTTTTGTGTAATTTTTGCCAAATAGCACTGCGATACTTCGAAGATAAGTATCGTGAAGGCATAGTTTTGGTCTGACTGTGATTGCTGGTAGTTTATGATTTTTTGTATTTATTTAACATACCTATAATGTCAAGTATGCAATTCCTGTGTTACCTTTTTTTTGTATGCATACATACATTGTGTATTGCATGTGTTTACTCTTGTATATGTACATGTTGATCTTGATGTTTACTAATTTACGTTTGTATGGTTAGTGTAAATAATGTTATTATTATTAATTCCGTTATTCCGTTTTGTTATCAGCTATATTATATAAATTCGTATCATTATGTTTCGATTTATAAATGTACTGTATATGGGTCACAAGTACATTAGTGATGATTTTTTGATAGAACACGGACTCTCTTTATATGCGGGCAAGCAAGAGACCATTGTTTATAATAGTTTATATGATCTAAGAATTTGCTGTCGATGTTGTATGTCACCAAAAGGCCATGTGCCTTCTCTAACTCCTGATGCTAGAGGGTGACCAACATCTATACAATTGATGGTAAGAGGTTGATGCTCTACTCTGTGGGAAAACAGGCGATAGACATCTAGGTTCGTATGATTTTTATATGTGATTTTTATATAATGGAGTGATGTCTAGATCTTAATCTGTAAACGAATATAGGGAACTCTAGATACCTTCCCTCCCATTATCTAAATTATCAGTTAGTTGCTTGAGGTCGAAAAAATTGGGCGGGATCCGCTGGTATATAAACCGTAATGGGTAACCATGCCTAACCCTCTAACATGTCCTCCATTGATGAAGCCGGTGCTGTCCGTAACATACTGCCTGGATACAGTAACATCAGCTCTAAGTTGTCCCTTGCCATGGCCTCATTGGTCTCCGCTGTGGACCAACTCAAAAATCAGCAAGATCAGCTGAAGGAGCAGCATGATGCGCTACCAAAGAATTGGAGTTGGTCAGGCGGATGCCCAGAACCAACTGGTTGCTGGTTAGTTGTATGACTTGTTTATGAAATTATCAAATGAGTTTTATTGCAGGTGATCAATCTCCCACTACCTTTTTGGTGTGTCAAAAGGTCAGGCGCTGCAGCTTCTTTTCAACAATTTAAGTTATGCTAAACCTCTATTTGACGCCGCGAGGGATTTAATGGTCGCTGAGATTTTGTACGTGAACAGAAATGGCGCCTCCTGCAACATGGCTGTAAGACTAATGGATGCACCAAAAATGAATAACAATAATAACAACATTTAGTTCTTCGTGGCCCAGCGCCACTACGTTCACATTATGGGTGCTGAATTCCAGAAAAGATTGGTAGTCAGCAACCAGAAGGTTCCCTGAGGTAAGTTGATCCGACTGACCAATGGTAAATAATAGTATGCCCAATAGTTAGCATATGTACGATCACGTTCCACTTAAAAAATATTATTCCTTTACCTGGCCAACCTACCGGCTTAGTCAGAGCTACGAATAGTTGAGTATTTGTATTAGGTTGTTGCAAAATATTGTCCGTTTTTCTAGGCGCATATTCCAAACGACTTTTTTCCTTCAGGCTTTCTTTTTCGATACAGATTTCGCACATCATTGGAAAGCTTTCTTTATGTACTTTGTAACGGTGGTGAAACTAAGCTTTTACCTCATTTGTAAGTTTTCACCAGCATTTTGAACTGCCGCACTCAAAATTGAAATTCCATTGCTCCAATCCAACTTTCTTGGCCACAATTCAGGCGCAAATAAACGAATTTTTCTGAAAATATAGCTACTGTATAGGATAAATATTGTTTACTTATTGCATGTTTAAATAAGTTTTTCGAACTTACCTGAACTGACAAATCACGCTTCAAAAAAGATACTCGCTGCTTGGAACTCTATGGGTTCGAAACTTTTCCTGATTAGGGCAATCGCTGAAACTTCACTCATTTCTGTAGGCTTAAGGTAAGGACATCTTATCTACAATTTATGCAGAAAAACTTAGCTATTCAGTGCATAAAGAATTCCAAGTTTTCATAGTTACTTCCAAGCCTATGACAATTAGGCTTAAAAAGTGAACAATTTTGGATTTCTATTTAATTCGCAGAACTTCTTCGCTAAAGTTCTTTTTATACAAACCTATACTACTGGGTTGCGTCTACAAAATAAGCTGATTAGCAGCCATAACAATAAAACTTGAAGGAAATTGTAATCTTTCAAAAACGAGGTTTTCAAAAGCAAAACTTTAGATTTTTGACGCGTGGTTCTCTTCCCGTTTGCTATATCAGTATATGCAGGTGCACCTTAGATTACGAAAGGTTTATTGCATCTGATGGTCTTGATTGCATTCAAAAATATGAAGACTGAACGAAGTTATAGCTTTTCAAAGTGATATTTTGTAAAACGGACATTATTTTTGCAACAACCTAATAAATTCAAATTGTCATCGATTACGGTGTTAGTAAGTAGGTGATCCAGTCGATAAATCAATAACTCAGTTGTAAACCGACTAGGTCACCTGCTATGGAGCTGATTTAAAAGGTCGGTCAATCAATAAGTGTTATAAATTTGGCTGCATCCCAACCCATCACTAATTAAACAATATATTTTGTGAGTAACCTTAAATATTTTTGGAGTTACTCAATAACATGTTACTCCAGCAAAGACACCGACTTGTTTGCGCAAAATGTTGGTATAGTGAGCTTGTTATGGATTAAGTAATCGATATGTGATAGTAAAATGGTTGATATAACATAAGTACCTATCAATCCGAGCAAAGATATCTGTAACATGTCTGTGAAGTGTATCCTGTTATGGTTTAGGTGACTAAAAACTAATAGTGTTAGCTGACTTGATAGCGATTAGGTCTTTGACTATCATAGGACTTGAGAGTAAATGATTAGTAAACAGAATTAATGGAAACGCTTACAATTTTTGTACTAGAAGAAGACTTGCATTTGTCCATCGAAAGTCTATGATGGTTGAGCCACAGTATGCATAGAGTAAAAGATAACAAACAATGTATTATGATAAATGACCTGTGACTATGGCTCATCCCTCACTGATTTGTAAACTTATTGTGGTATGACTTTTATGGCTTAGAAATTTGTTGCAAACCAATAACTTGTTCGTATCTTGATTGGGTTGGCAAAAGGTTGCTGACGATAGGGATCCGTGAATACTTTTGAATTGTAATCAAAACTAAACATAAGTATATGACTGTTCAATTGATAACTAATTGTAAAAATGTTCGTTGTTAATACGAAACTTTTGATTGCTTGGTTCCAAAGAATTAATTGAACAAGTAAATTGACAGTAACAGTAATTGAACACGTACTAAAAAAGACGGAAACATTTCCGTTTAAATGAGTGATGAGTTGAGCCACAATCCTTCATAAATGATCACTGAGGACCACCTCAACCATCTATCCACAGCAGGTAATTGATGGTAATATCAAACTGTTGAGAAGTAAGTAAAGTAAATACAAGATTGTAAAATGCAAATTGATGATATGAAGCTGATAGACTTATTAGATTTGCGATGTGATCCTTGTAATGTTGAATATAGTCCTATTGTTATTGCGGAACACCTTCCACTTCCTAATTCTTCCTTTTTTGTAAGGTTTCAAATTCATTGATCTGTAAGTAGTATGATAAGGCACGCATATACACTTAATTCGTCAGGAATGGAACATAGGAGTAGGTGAAATAACTTATATGTCAGTGAAGACTGGAGAACGTAATCGGAAGAACAAGTAGCTAATCAACACCTAGTTATGTTATTTGCTTAAGAACTTGGAACTTACAGTTGAGTCAGTCAGCGGTCAGCTATTGCGAAATATAGACTAGTGCCTATATGTTAGCTTAGCCAGTAGATATGTTAAAATCTTTGCTACCAAATACAAAAGTGTAGAAACCAAAAGTAGAAAAGATACTATGGACACCTAAAAACTGAAATTGCGCCATGGACTGACCGATAACTACTTTATGAGCTATCTCATACATAAACTCTGTGATTTGTAGAAGCAAACTTCTAGTTCTAGTAGTGGACTGAAAATCACATTTTTGATGGAAGTACGTAGAGAACCGTGTTTTACTAGACTTACTAATTAGTTAGCTAGGTTATACGCGATAGGGAATATGAACGTAAAGACAATGTAAACAAAGAAATTGATGTATAGTTACACAATGCTAGAAGTTTCTTATGCCGTGGAATGTGTTGTGTCTATATGTACGCAATAGAAAAATAAATAGGTAAATAAATCGTGTTACACAGAGATGTCAAAAAATTTGGAGCTTATCCAATCGTTAATGTATTAGGTCGTTTCAAAAGTAATTTCGCTTTTTTCAAAAGGGCACCACATGTGACGGAACAAAGATTTCTAAGAGATCTTGGAGGCATTCGATGCAGAATTTCATTCTCTTTCTAATGAATATGTGAATGTTGCAAATCAGTCAATGAGCTTTCAGAAAATAACCAAAATCTGCGATCCATGCTTTTTGAGATGGTCAAGTTTCACGATTTTTTAAAACTTTCGTACCAATCCTCAGAAGGAGCTAAAGTAACGCCTTTATAAAGCAAACCCTACAGAATGCAAAACTACTTTTTTCTCCTTTCCATAGCTTGTCCTACATTTTTAACAGAATTTTAACTGATGCTACTGATTTCCACACCTGGGCAGCTAAATCCTCGTAGAACATTAAAAGAAGAGCAGCTCGCGCACTATTCGATACAGCATTTTCTCCTCTTTCTAACAGATGTTTTTTTCTCCGATACGTTTAGTTTCCGGGAAGAAATCATCATAACTCATTTTTCTTGGCGAGCCCCAGGCTGTACCCGAAAAACTCGAAATTTGATATTTCGAACCCGTAAACCATCACTTGCTTTGTGAAATTAATGCTAACTCGTAGTACCATCTTAGTAGTCTCAAATTTCGAAAAATTATGAGGTTTGATGTGGGTGTGGCTGGGGTGGGCCTGCCAAAATCCGATGTTTCTGTTAAAAGATCTTTTAAAAAATTACGGCGAGTTACAAGAAAAAGAAAAAGGTAGTATTGTAATCTGTAAGGTTTACTCTATCGAATCTTTACTTGAAATTCTTCTGAAGATTGATATGAAAGTTTTAAAAAATCGTGAAACTTGACCATCTCAAAAAGCATGGGTCGCAGATTTTGGCTATTTTCTGAAAGTTCATTCATAGTTTTGCAATAATTTCATGACCTTTAGAAAGAGAATGAAATTCTGCATCGAATGCCTCCAAGATCTCTTAGGAACCTTTGTTCCATCAAATGTGGCGCCCGTTTGAAAAAAGCGAAATTACTTTTGAAACGACCTAATACAATCGATTTCTGCTTTTTGATAATTTCGAAACACGTGGCAATTTTGGTTTTTTCTCCCTGTCCTGGCGACTAGCATCCGATACCATAGAATGTAGATTTATATCATCGTAGCCTTATGAATTGATCAACACTTTTGCGCACTTTATCTGCTGTTGAATGCTTGTCACATGCCAGTAGCCGGGATTTTCGCATGCCATAATTTCTGCATGCCACAAAAAATTAATTTCACAGCTTCAAGTTAAGCACACTAGCATTCCTCTTGTTCGCTTCAAATTGAAAATTTTTATAATTTGTAAATAGGCATGCACACATGTACCGAAGCGTCAAAAAGCGGCTTCTTTTTTGTTCGGTCAGAAAAAATCTCTTGGCACCGAAGACCCTATCATTCTAAAACTTCTCTATATTTCCATAATCGATAAATATGCCTGACATTTGTTATAAGAAAGCATTGCCATGTCAAAAAGACAAGTTTGAAGAAGAATGTCGTAAAGTTTTTGGTTTCGCTTTTTCTATAACAGGTTTCCGCAAATCTTAAAGTTTCCCTGATAGCCAACTCAGACAGTCGACGGCATACCTCCAGAGCAGAAATGGCCGAGCCGCGTTTTCCCAGCTGGGGATTGCCACTCGTGCTCCGGAGCCCTCTCATTTGTGCGCCGGACCCCTCCGATTTTCTGCTCCGCAAGTCTGCCGCGGCATACTGTAACTAGCCCTAATTGAGCTCCAAACCCCAATTAT